AGTCTTCTCTGAAAATCTGTCACATTCTACACGTGTTGTTCATTATACCGGATTTAAATTAACATGAAATACTTAATATTAAATGAATTTCCCTGGAAAAAATCATTTTATTAATTTATAATCTCATGGGTCTCATCAATGCATTAACATATTCTCAGTATTTCGCATAATTGATTTAGAGTATTATTCAATTACTCCTACGCAGAAATTGCTAATTTTATGTAAATGCACATCATGAAATGAGGAAAGCTGAAACAGTGGCAAAAGCCAATTAATTATGTATTCTACAAGACCAACAAGTGCATTGTGATATGCGATAAAAATCGGAATCCAACCCTTTTGTAGCTTGATGAAATTTGCACTGCATTGCTCGGAATTGCGCAATTGTTTGCTCATTTTCTGTACAACTCATCACAGAGATTGCTTCTAAATTTGCCCCACGGAAATCACCTTTAAAATATCCATCACAATATGTGGATGTTAGAATTTGAATTTATATGTTCATGGATTTATGAATTTCAAACAATAGTTCAAGCGAACAGCGCGAATAAAGACTCCTGTCAGTGGCACAGTGGCACAAATATGCGCCCAGGATCACAATCTCCAATCTAGAATTTTAAAATGCGCGCATATCTTCAATCTGCAAACACTCGAGGGTGCAAAACTTCACAAAACAACGGGGGAAAGTGTGTAAAAAATGGCACCAAAGCAACCATTTATAAATGTTTAGATATGATTTTTTGTCCAGTTTCTCTGAATTTTGTGACTGAATATCACTTGGAATTTAGATTTATATCCTCAGGGCTTTTAGAAATATAAGAACAACACATAAAAGCATACCTTCACTAAGCAAACATACACCTATTCTGGTAATCCCTGACAATTTGTAAGCGCTCAGTTTTATCGATTCAATTCACGTCCATGAATTTAGGTCTCTGTGTGATGCAAAATAATACCCATGAGATGGGATTTATATCTGTGGGACAGTTTAACGTGGAAATTATTCCTGCAAATCGGCTTGCAAATAATATAGAGAAATATGGAAATCTGAGTGGAGATTTTGCGTATTGAATGGGAAATATTTTCCTTCAATATATCGAGAGATTCTGTGGATGGAGAACAGAGAAGCTCAAATACTGCGGACTATCGAGTGCGAATTTCTATGCGAGGGAACATCATGAGCTTTTTCATCCACACCATTTCTCATGCTATGTATTTTGTAGTCAATAAAAGAGAAATTCCTCCACTTATCTCCAGCACTGATCGTAGATTTTCATTTTGGAGGAAATTTTCGATTTGAAAGGCAATAAAATTCCCATAAAGTCTCAAGTAGTGTGGAAACGATGGTGAATTGTGCGGCAGACTCCTTAGCACAAGGATAAGAGATGATACTCAAGTGATATCATTGACATTTCACTTCAATTGTTGAGTCGTCTTCAGTGGCTTGCTCGGGTATTTTCCAGAACACAAACTCCAATCCTGAGTGGCCGCGTTGCATCCACAAATGGATGCAATTTTCCATTGCTGCACAACCAAAACCCTTTCCGTGGTTGACTAAGCACATTGAATGCGTGCGGGGATTTCGGGGGAGGAAATTAATTTCACAGTGATTTTGTGTTTCACGTTTTCCCACAATTCACCCATTCTGGCCCATTGTTGGTGTGCCGTTATGCAATTTCACTACAATCAACGTATTGCATCACATCCCACGGCAAATAAATCAATTTTCATAAAATCACAATAGACAGCCAGTATTAAATTATTAATTACAGTCTCCCTGAGTGCGCCATACAAACCTCAATGGGAAAATTATGTGTTCAAATAGAGGGAGAAAACCCTCAATGATAATCAAACTCGAAGAAACCAAGCAGAAAGACAGACAAGCATTCGTTCTATGAAGTGAAGCTTTTGTGGTCAAATCGTGAAGAAAGGATGAACTAAAGCATGATTTTACAACTTCAAGTTTAATTTTCTGGTCTGAATGCTAAATCGTATAATCATATAAAAGACGCTCTATTGATTCACTTTGGGAGAATAAGAACAGAATTTTTAATAAAGAAAAGATTTGGCAGTTCAACTTCATTTCTCTCGAAATCTTTCAGACGGCGTATTCAATTAATACAATTGTATTTAATATGCACTTTGATGATATCAAGAAAATGTTGACTAATCCAATATAGGTATTTTCAGTTCGCGTTGGATTGTTTACTTTGCACATATTGCATGGCTTGATAATTTCATTCGCAGTAAATTGTATTGTGTTTTGTTATTATCTGCAAGAGATAAGTAATTGCAGTAGAATGTTTGAGTTTGTCTTTGCCTACAAACTTGCATTCTCCCAGCCAAAAACCATGTTTCCTGATTAAAAGGCAAATATTTGAGAGAAATATTGTTAAAATTCACAACGCATGTTAGAATGTGGGAGAAGCTGTTCCACATGAGACGTTTAGCTGGAAATTGAACTGAATTTTCATGATGACAAGCCACAGTGTATAATTTTCCTAATTTCAAATTACACATTTCAAATGAAACACCTTCTTGAGATTCCATCCTGGAAATTCTTCTGACTGTGCGGAAAAGACATCAAGAGTAGAGTGACAGAAGTGAGAGAATATATTTTCTGTCGTTTGATATAATTTGGCGCACAGAATTTCAGCCTCTCTTCATATAGGCAGGCTCTGTTTACACGGAAATTTACATGGAGAGTGTCATATAAGAAGATGAAAAGAATCTCCTTGGCGGCGCCACTGAATATTTCAAAGACTCCTCAGTGGTGAATTTTTAATTAGAGGACTTAAACCATCGCACACCACAAACTTTAACCAGCCCCATGCGATTTTCCACGCCGCGAAAACTCATGAGGAAAACTTCAATGTTAAATATTGCATAGACTATATGCTCTTCTTTTTCCATGAATAATTAAATCTCATGTCAAAACTTTAATATTATCATTCGTTTGCCAACCGCAACTCCGTATCATACTGAATATTTAATTAAAGTCTCGCTGTATACTTCTTCTCTGCAAATGGAATTGCTAAAGAGGCCATTTTTACGCCCTACATGTTGAATTGCAAACTTCTCGGGCAATCGATGTATGCAAATTTTTCTTGTTTCCACATGGGAAATTCACTGTGATATTGTTAGAATCTTTTACTACCACAAGCAAAACCGTTGTATAAAATTTCATAATGTATGATAAACATTAAACGTCATTTGTATGTTCTTTTTTTTAATGTTCAGAAGGAAAATCAGTAATTTCTCATCATTACTTTGCATTCATTGTTTATTCAGGACTTACGCCCAAAGCGATTAAATGATTTTTGTTCTATTCTGCAATAATGCTGTTAATGTTATGTAAAATTTACTAAACAATTTAATATTCAAATGCAACATTCACAAAATGAATGCTTGTATTTACATACATTACTGCTATTTCATAATTAATTTTCATGTTATTATAGATTCCATAAATTAATTGCACAAGAAATACAAGTTAATTAGCGACTATCAAACATATTTTTTACACACTTTTTGCCCAATTAATCGAAAAAAAGTGGTTACATGTGTCACAAAAATGCTCAATTAATTGGTGAAAAAATAATTGGGCAATTTCTATGGAACTACACTAAATATTCAATACTCCAAAAGCATAAATTGACAACACTGCCTCGTGCACAATTAACCAAATGACGTGCTGCATAAAATTTCAACTATTCTATGATATTTATGGCTGAAGAAACTTCCAACTCAATTCAACCAGCACCAAACTTAGATATCAGAAGAAGAATGTGCTTCGTACTTTACTTGGTGGAAGTGAAATGGGAAACTTTGAATGCAATTTGAAGAATTCTATTATTTACTTTATCCATGCTTAAATATTTTATATCAAATTTATACAAGAATATTTCACGGTGTGCAAGTTTAAAACACCCTCACCCCTTCGCCGTCCATCTCCTGAGCGCTCTTTTCTTGTGGAAAATTTCTGTCATTTCGAGATAGTTTCTCCACCCCTGAAGCCATTCGTGGCCCTGCTTTGGCGAGAACCATGCGACAATTTGTACCTCCAAGACACACCCCAGTTTCCATCGTGGAAACTTTCCAGCTCAGAAGGGGGAGAGAAAGAGCTGAAAGTTAATACCCTAAAATTGGATGACGGTGTTTTGCTTTCTGCATTATCTGAAAATGCTGAAATTGAATTTTTTTTTTCGCTACACAATCTCAACCATAGATTTTCCCTATGACACTTTCTTGCTCATGCACAACAGCTAAGAAACTCCGTTGGAAAAACAATTGTCAAACAGTAATGAGGACAGCCTGAAAACTTTTGCATTAGTGAAATTGGAGTGAATATATACGGTGCGCAGTGATGGAAAATTACTCTGTATAAAGTCGAAAACTTTTCTTCTACAGTTCTTAACATGTTGCAGATTCCTTTCTAGAAACACCGTAACTTGTCATATTAAATACTAAAGTGTCTAAAATACTTGAATTTAATCATAATTTTTCGGTTGATAGAGTTAATATTAAATTTTGCGCATCCAAAACATTACTCAAAGATATAATGAAAATAGTTCGTTAACAAGAGGAACACATTATTACCAATATTGTTGAAGAACTTGAGCACACAAAGTTCCTGTTTGAAGCATCAATTTTAGCGCAAACAATGCAATGAATCTCAAGCCATGTTTGAAACCTTGATTGAAATCTGTGTAAAAATTAGTAAAGTAAAACAATACTGAATGTTTTCAAACACATTCGCTCAATCGACAGTAAAATGGCACAAAATATGTATCTGCAAATAATTATAAATTTTCAATTTTTAAATATAGCAATAAGGAAATGTGAAATTCTTTAATTTTTTTCCAAAAAAGAAGAGAAAATTATCATAACAGCTGTTTTTTTTTTTTGAAAATCTTTCTAATTTTTTGATAAAAGACATAGAAAAATAGATTAAAATGAGAGATAGAGAAAATGTTTTCTATGTTGTGCCAAAACTAGTATTGAGCGACAATTTTTATTCATTCAATAATTTCAATACATCATAAATACAATATCTTTTAGAGGTACAGCGTTACAGTACATTTATATACAGATAAATTTCCTTTTTCTCGGTAAATATCAATATCTTTTCTTTATATCCGATAAATTTTTTTCCATATACTTTTAATGATTGATAATTATATTAATATTTCTTTTTTTCAATATATTTCTGTATGAATGTAGAAGATCTTTACTGCGGTTTTATGTCAAATTCTCATCAATTTCTCTGTTGCCTTTTTGTCACACAATAAAATTCTTCTGCATTGTTTTTTACTTGGTTTTTTTACGTCTTTGATACACAGATAATATTTGGTAGTATATTTTTTAATACGGTTTTTTTTCACGTTCATCATTCCCCCCGAACAAACTCACATCCTCTTTGGTGTCCTTCTAGGTCAAAGCTTTGCTGCTCTTCTGTTCTATTTCTTCTTTGTATTGGATATTTTATGTTTCATGTTTCACGTACATTTAGTTTATGGTTTCATTTGTCACGGTTTTTTTTCTTATTTTTTTTTTGAATCGGGAAGGGTTACATCTATTTTCTGGATTTTTTCTGGATAATCAACACATATCGTGTATTTTTTTTTTAGTTTAGAACAAGTTTGCTTTAACCATTGATTAGTACAATTTTTCAAGATTCTCTCCTTATTACACCGAAGTAACTACACTGCTGAATCAGCTTTCTGGGTATTTGTATGGAATTCTCTCACTGGTTGGTTTTGTCTCAAAAGTGGGGAGAGATTGGGAAAGGGTGCCAAATGGATAAGGAAGAAGGACGCTGAATCACACAAATGTAGCTTTTCTAGTGTCTATTGTATTATAAGTGATAGTTTACGTTTGACATTCAAGTTTTCGGTTAAATGAACATGTATTTTTTTCTTAGGTTAGAGCGACTACAGACCTTCGGATGATCCATGGGAGTGTAAGTGAGAGCGAGAGAATTTACGATTGATCGCTAATTCAGCGTTAAAACGCAGATCATATCGATTGAAATTTGCCAAATTATTTAACAGCTTAAAACGCACAAAATTACGGATCTTCTGCGAATGATTTCTGTAGCTATTAAAAATCATTCAATTCTTCGGCGAATCACCCATTTTTTGAAATTGCTATGTAAAACTTCAGGCTTTTGAGAAAATAAACAAACTGACTGCCGAGTGTGGCACGAACTGAAAATTGTCGCTAGTATCGACAAAGAAGATTAACCCTTGAGTGTGTGTAAAGATGCCAGACTTTCAAATTAACTCCTTTACTTTGCCAAAGGATCAGCCATGACTTGCGGATGATTTCACCTTTACACCCGTAAGTGTATAATCGCTCTGTAGATTATATCCAGTGTAAACATTTATTTTATATTAATTTAATTTTATCTGTATTATCTTCCGTCATATCTTGACGTAAGCATCCTGTATTCCTGTATATTTCTTGTGTCTTTTCATTGGGCTGCATTCTTGATATTCCGTGGTTTTTGCTTGTATTCTCAAAATACATGTCGTTATAGAAAATTCCTGTTTCAAACGCTCTATTGAGCTGTCAAAAATACGTATTTTCTGATCTATTTCTAGTAGATCGCCTGTTCTCTGTCAAACTTAGTTGTCCTGTCAAGTCAAACTTGACAGCACAACTGCCAATCTGATCTAGTTTGTTGGCAGTTCAAATGCAAAATTCAAGAAGTAAAAATAATAATGTACAACTTTTGGCGGTTATTTTTCTAAATTAATTATTATTTTTTAATTTTGTAATTGAAATCTAAATAAAAGTTATTCCTCTTTTTTGTGAGGAAATTCATTTGCTCCTTCCCTCTCGATTTTCTCATATTTTCTGTCAAAAGTAATCTCACGCATTTTCTTTCACTCTCCTTCTAATAAAAAAGGCGCCATTGCATATAAAAAATATCGTCTTTGTCTCTCGTTTTTTTTTTTTTATTAATAATAATTGTTTAAATGCCTAATTTTCCCGCCTAATTATATTTAAAATCACTGATACAGAATTCAAGTCTTTGAGATGTTTTGCGTGACCAACGCGTCACGACAATTGAGTGCATCCTACTTAACAAATCATAACAGGTTGTCAATGAGGATGCTTACGAAGTAGAACACTATGGCGAAGAAGGTGAAGAAAGGTGTCGCGTGAGACGCTCGGCTGGCATTGTGGTCAGCATTCTTGGAGATGGCAGGCTGAGCAGAGAGTTCCACATCAACATCTGCGGAAGGGAATTTTTCGCGGAATCAGACTGCGGCCTTTGCCAAACCTCATTGCCGCTTTTTGCGTGAGACCAAAAGAGATCGATTGTGTCTCTTCTGGCCAAAGGACAAACAGAAGCTCTCAAATATCAGTGGCTTCGGCGTGAAGTTATGTAATTCACCCCCAAAGCCCGCATTTAGCCACAGTTGTCACATAAATTTAATGTGGGGCTCAGTTGCACAATTAACAAGGGAGCTTTATTGAATAGTGTGGCAAATGTTTGTATTAATTATTATTAATAATACACTATGATAATGTTTTTTTTAGCATATTGCCAAGAGGAACATAAAAAGTTATTTTCGTTGCGAATTTAGCAGATGAACAGTGAATGGAATAAAATTACGTCCAGTTGATAATATTTTGCACATAATTTTCTCTATTTATTTTTAGTGGAATTTTTCTTATCTACCATTCAAGGGGTAAATAAAATCCAAAATTTCACGAAAACATTTTCAATTTAAATTGAATAAAATATACATAATTCTATACTCATTCCAGTCAATACCAGAACCAATACCAAAACTCTAGATACTTTTGTTAACTCGGCAATACGGTTTTGCCAATGCTTTGCCTTGTAATTTTATTATTATACCCTCAAATATTTGTCAAAGCATGTCTTTCTGGAAGTGCTTTAAAATTACCATTAAACTCTCCCTACTAATTTCCCACAAGATCACAGACTTCACGCGTGCAGAAAACCAACCCTTTGCGACTCTGTTGATGCAAATATTTTATATAATTTCCCGAGCTGAGTATATAATTTCAAATGCGAACCCGATACGCTTCAACTAGCGCCACTTTTGCACATCATTATCCCGCCTAGAAGAAGGGAAATCCGAGAACTCACCTTCTGCTCGTGTGGAGAAGTGGAACGCTGCTGACACTTCGTTCCAGCCGAACTCGTTCCTGGCCTGCACCTTCGCCTCATAGTTGGACGCGGGCGTGAGGTTGCGCAGCGTGAACGACATGTGGTGGCGCGGATTGAGCTCGCCGCTCACGAAGTGATGGTGGCCACCGTGGTGGTTGGATGGATTGTTCCGGTCGTGGCCCCTCTCGACCATCACCACGTTCTCCCAGTGATCCGAGCGACTCCTGTGCTGTTGCCGCACATAGTGCGCCGACTTCGGCCGCGAGTGGTGCTGGTAAGGATTCTGCAGTTCATCCTGCCAATGAGAGGCATGTTCATCCTCATTCAGTCTTGACAATGTAACTATACGGATAAATATGAGTGACAACCCAGTGCTAATCCTGACCATTCTGTCACCTCGCAAAATGTGTCTCGCAATTGTTCTCACATCGCATTAAGTCTTCGAGAAAATTCAATTTTCCTCATCGACTCGACGCTCTCGGGTTCAATTTCCAAGGAAAATTTCATTGAATAAAATTGCGCAAAGCGACAAGACAATGGGTCTCCTCTTGAGAATGGCACGGAAAACGCCGTGGCGGACAATTTATGGAAATTATGCTGAAGAAGTGAGAATTGTTCGTCTTACCTTCTCGTCTTCGGTGGTTCGTGTAGTGTATTGCAAGCGATAGAACAGGCGATACTCTTGAATGATGGAGAAACTGACTGTAGCCCATGAAATGTTGTACACGTCTTTACCATTTCCCAGAGTTGGCTGCAAAATCACCCAAAGAATAGTTGTATAAATTAACATTCGAATGGGTGTGGCTTCGGAGGGGGCGGAGCTTTCGTTGTGCTTACCGAATCAAACACAGACACTGCCGGTGTTCCAGTAAGTATCATGCTCCTGCGCTCCTTGCCCAGCTTGTTGGCGGCTTGGCAGGTGTAATTGCCCAAGTCATAGAAGGTGAGATTTCGGATGTTTAGCACATAGCGACTGCCGTGGTTCTTCTGCGTGTGGCGCTCCGTTGTGGCCAATTGTTCTGTCTCGTGGAACCAGAGAATTGACGCCTCCGGTGATGCATATATCATACACACGAGCTGCACCTCAAAACCCACGCCGGTGTGAATCACCTTGCGCTCCACCTCGATCTCCGGCGGATCTGCAATGCATTGAGTGAGCAAGTGCTCTTCTTGCGTCCGAATCTCGCGCACTTACAAATCACGTTGACGTTAATTTCACGATAGGCAGGCTGACCAACTTTGTTGTCCGCCGTGCACCTGTAGAGGCCGACGATGCTCTTGTCGGCACTGGGAATCACTAGGAGGCCCTCCTTATTGAACGTCAGGCCATTGGGCATAATATTATTCTGCAAATAATTGTGTGTGAGGAACAAAAATAAATCCAATTTAATTTTCAACCGCGCTTAACTCAAATTTCAACTTTCAACTTTCAAGAGTGTGAACGACAACTTCATTTGAAATTCACGTAAAATCATGCTCAGAGTTGCTTGTTAATGTTTCATTTTACACAACTTTCTCACTGCATGAAAGAAAAGCACTTTCAGACTTTGAAATCTTTTAGTGCCTTCAAAGCACTCTCATCTAATGTATATTCAAACTACTTCACGCCACTTGCGATGAAAATTTTCCACCCTCTGTTGCGATTGAAAATTCAAACTCACCTGACGCGTCCATGTAACTGTTGGTGTTGGATGTCCACTGCTACGACACTCAAGCTGCACTTTTTCACCCTTGTGCGCCTCCAGAGTTTTCCCTGGAATTACATCTATGATCGTAGGTGGAACTGCAAAGACACAGATCATCTCATCACTCTTGACCATCTGCTAACCCCCTTTGGCTCAGCACTCACCGAGCACAACAAGATTGTGAACAATCTCGCGGCGTTTCTGGGTGCCAAGTTGACAAATATAGTTGCCAGTGTCCTTAATTTTCACATCGCGAATCTCTAAATTGTAGCTGTCTACAACTTTATCAGTTCCCTCAACTTTCTCCGATGGGATTAATGTTATGCGCGAATTCAAGATAGCCTTCATGGTTCCAGCTGATATAACGATGTCGTCCTTCTTCCACGCCAGAGGGAATTCATCGTTGAAGTCTGGGAATGAAGTTACACGATGTAATTTCTCTATGATACAGAATAAACACGGCGACTTAACCCCCTCAGCGAGGTATTGTATCAATTGAAAGTGTGTGTCTCTTCGGCAAATTGAATAACTACGAATTTAGTTTCATTTCAATCAAATCCACCACAAAATACTTCACAAAGCTCAATGAAAGCTTCATTTAATTTTCAATGGTGATAATAATGTTTACAGAGTTCATTTTGTTTTGAAATAACACAAATTGAATATGTGAAATTAATATGGCAATGTTTCAAAAAGTACTCTTCAACCATTTTTTTTTTATTGCATGAAACACAACTTGCTTCTGCATCACAAATTGTTGCTGTGCTCTCCAAAGGAATAAAACTGGGCGATGTACGCTGGAGCATAATCCAGGATTTAATCTACAACATGGCTCTTGTCCCTGTTCAAAAAATTAAAGCACAAACTTTTCGCATAAAACCTTTTTGCACAGTTTATGGATGGACGGTTTTTGTTCATGCGATGGAGAGATATGATATTTTTCGAAAAATCCACTCAACCCACTCAATGCTCGACCGCAGGATAAAGTTTGGGGTCATTATTATGAAATTGTTCACCTCATCCATTCTCTCTTTTGCCCATCATCAACGGTACAAAATTCCCGGAAAAGCTTCAAGTGCAGTGCAAAGGCACTTAATTGCTGTGGGAAATTGCTGGGATAGTCATTCTTGGCAGTGTGGGTGCAGAAATCCAGTGAAACTTGCCAACATGCGTGAGAATGATTTTGAATGCTCTGTGGAGTGGGAAATTAACCCACTCTCAACGGTAATTTTCCCTCAATTGCTTCAAATGTATGTTAGACACACAGACCGAATGTTTCGATGCAGTAATTTCAATGGATTGTACAAAATTTAAGGGTGTTTGAAGTGTGAATACACTGATCAATTGCCACTTGAATTGCAACTCAAAATCAACGAAAGCTTGTATTTCTGACTGCATGTAATTATTAGGTTCCGTTTCACACCAGCAAAATTGTGGTAGAACTACAATTGCGGCTAATAAAGTCTAATTGGTATCTCAAATGCACGGAAAATGCATTGAAATATTGGCAGCGAATCGAATCAAAGCTTTCAATGCAAACTTACACGTCAGATTGAGTTTGCAGGGCAGCACAACTGTCGTTCCCACAGCGATGCTGTACTTCTGGCCGATCGTCACGAAGTTGGGAATGTACGCAGGTTCATCGTCGTAGTCTTGGTTGGAATTGTGATAGGATCCGTGGTAGGATCCGTATGTGGTTCCATGAGCGGTGGTATGGCTTGAACCGTGGTGGTTTCCAGTATTGGCACTCTGGCCGGAGCCATAATTTGTGCCATACTTGGAATTGGAGTCTGTGACACAACCTGGAAGACAGAGAGAAAGGCAGAGATTTAGTGCGGTGAATCTCGGTGATATAAGATTGAGACGCGCGAGGGGTGAAAGGGTGAAAAAGGACGAGGCGTCTCAGGTCCTTCGCCATCTCGTCTCGACTTGCCGGCCGCAGGAGAGGCGAAAGTGGGCTGAGAGCACATAATTAGGTAACTGATGTTGCCATGAGGTTTTCAGGGGTCCGACATATGTTCAACACGACTCTCGACCAACCCTCAATTCATTTTGTTAACATCTGTTTCCCCCTTTCTCGGTGGTAAATATTGATGTTTTTTGCAGTTGTTCGAACCCAATTAGGACACCGCAGGGGACGCTCGGCGAGCGCCAAGGAGGACGGCCGGTGACAAAGCTCTTGCGGGAGTTAATGGTGCGTAGGTGGAACCATTTCCATTAAACACTTTAATCGATTTTCCCGGGCTCTCTTTTTTTTCGCCAAAAACTCAATGAGCATTGTTCATGTTCAGACACCATCAATTTTTCCTCTCCCTCCGGACACAACTTCCTTTTCCGCTTCAGCCCAATTCGTTGCGGAAGACATGGAAATCGGGAAATCGAACGCACGTGCCAAATGAGCTGACTCACCCGAAATGTGTTTATTTAGGAAATTTCCTCGCAATTGCCTTGATTGGATAGTCGACACATCAAAGGCAGCGCGAAAGGAGCAATAAATTGTTCATATAGCTCTTTAAGGATGAGAGAATTATCAGAAAATCTTTTCAGGTGGAAAAAAGGCGAGACTTTTGAAGTATTCAATGGATTTTGTCAAAAGTTAAATTGGAATTCACTGGAATTCATTAAGAACATAAAGATCAAATTTATTCTCAAGTACAGAGTAATTTTGTTAATTATAAATGCCAATAAACATGAAAAAGTGAGTGAAGAAATTTTATATAAATGCATAATTGTTCCGTCATGAGTATTCCATAAAACACTTTTCTATAGCAGGAAAACTCGTGATAGTTTTTAACCAATTAGTGCTAAATTACATTAAAGAATGACCTTAAAATCGAATTATCACTAATTATGCCATCTATTAGGTTTAGACATTTCTGGAAATGCATTTTCCAAACTCTATATAATTGTAATTTCCACTTATCAGCTGGATTTGAATATGTAATGCGATAGTAAATTAATAATATACAAAATTAAATAATTTCACCGTGATTAGTCTGTGGTAATTGATTTGGTGTGCATCAGTGTCCAAATTCCATTAATATTGCCTTAAAAAACTTTCTGAAATCTATAAATTTTTTATAATCAATTAAGCTCAGAGTTTCTAATAAACCTGCAAATTTTTTATTTAACTGAAAATCAAGTAAACTTTTACCAAAGTGTTGTTAAATATGCAACAAATTCATGGATCACAACTATAATTATATTTGCGCTCTCATTAAAAATGGAGTGAAATTTAGAAAATTTGCAAACATCATTCAGAATAAGCATTAAATATTGCAGAGTTTTCTGTCAAATTTGCACATTTTATACCACGTTATTGATGTTTTGCAGTGTGATTGAATCAACAGCAGAAAATGTGAATGATGGAAATTCCTCATTTCTATTAATTGTAATAATATAATAAAAAGCAAATGTAGTGCTAAATCAATTTGCTTTATTTGCACAGCAACCATTGCAAATGAAAAATGTAGAGAATTTATATAAAACTCCACATTCAATTATGCAAAATGCCATGGATTTTTTAATTGAATCTCCAGTAAAAAGATTTCCCATCCATCCTGGACTGTCATCGCTGTGAAAATTGACTGGTGAGTCAAAAGACAGAGGGAAGTGGTTGAGAAATAAATTAAATTTTCCTTCCAGATATTTCAGCGAAGACTTGGCACACACATAAAATCCACACTGGATGACTTGTGTTGCAATATTTCTTCCCATTGTGTTGACTGTTTTTAAAATGTGACAGCATGCCACAACCATAAACACTCTCGGTGTGGTCAGAATTGTCCCAGCATCCACCATTATTATTATCTGTATTGCGGCGCTCTGCAATATTTGCCGCCTGGCCCAAATTGCTGGGGAATTCTTTTCAATTTCTGCTGGTGTGGAAATTGGGAGAATGGCAAAATAAAATACAATTGACTTTCATTCCGCTCTCGAAAATTTATAGAGCGCAAAGTACTTACATATTTATGGCTTTTCCCCATTGATTCTCAATTTCCTTGTCCACTTGAGGAACTCCTCACAAAAAAAATGATATTCACGAAAATGTATTCATTTCAAGCATCCTCAAATTCTCGGGGAAGATTAAAATAATTCCCCGAAAAGGCGCTGTAAATATTTTATTTTCCCCTTAATGAGCGACGAGAGAAGAGACTCGAGTGCGTGCCTGACATCAAAGACCATTAGAAAGGGCCTCTCTTTTGGTCTGGTGGGAAGATGCCCGCATGGCAATCATCTGGCCCTGAATGACACGAACATATAATTTCATCTTTCTAATGATTTTTCACTTTACAAAACCGACTCTCTCTCGCCCCGGAGAAGAGTGACAAATTCACTCCCTCAATTTTTATTATTTAAATTATCCGTCATTTTCATGCCATCACTCCACCATCTCCGGCCTGACATTTTGTGTGTATTTTTTTTCGTCCCGGGCGCTGACGAAGGGAGAATCTGGGATAATTAATGAAATAAATTAAAATTGTGCTGCCACCACGTCGCTCAAAGTGCCAGAGGACACAAAAAGGAAATTCAATTAATGCAGCATTTAAATGACTTTCAGAATAAATTCCTACCACTGTCGCACGAAGACACGCGGAATATTTTCAGTGATTGTGCTGAAGATTTAGCGATTAAAGCCTCGACGATAAAACTTTCTCTGGGTGTCATTGTTGCTTCGGGGGGTGGAGTGAAATTCGTGGTGGGTGACAAAAATCCACTGCGAGATAAATGAAGCCTATTTATAGCGCCCTTTAAAGTCCTCTCTTTTTCTTTCACACTGCAAAATTGCCAGAATTTTCCAGTATATATTGTATTTTTGCTAAAATATTGTTCCTATCTTATTCCATTTGTGACAATCTAACAGTTCAACGACAAAAGTGGGGAGGGAAAAAACTCTGCGAGAACAACAAAGAGTCGCACAATTAAGGGCGGACTTTTCAGTTATGCCTTTTATGTTAACCCATTATTACGACAGATGGAGAAAAAAAAATTGTGGTTTTCTACATATTATCAAAGTTGCATGAAGCAGAAAAAGCAATTTGATGTTGAAAAAATGATTAAAATGCTGCATCACAGATAGTAAGATTAAAGAAAATATCCCGAGGTTTTCATTTAATCACATATCATATGATTTTGTAGAGACTCCTAATGAAAAGTCACCACAGACATTTTCCATTATGTTTCATATAAAATTACGTCAAAGCTTTCATGTGAGCATGCATAACATTCATTCAACAACATCAATTCATTACCTTCAACTGTCCAAAGATTCATTCAAAAAGGAGAGTTGCAAATAGGATTATAATGAAAAACCTCCCCTATAAAGAAGCACATTAGACATCAAAGTAAGTTTATAAAATGTCATTTCAAAGTTTTTCGCATAATATATATGAATTTATATCGTTAGTGTAAAAAATAAGTGAAATATGGGCTTAATACCACCAAGATTACATATTGTAATTATATTGTGATTCTAATTGATAAAGTTTTTCACTTTTGTATAAGCTCTTCTCTGTTGAAACGTTCTGGAAGTCTTTGTAAGTCATTCGCCATTATTAACAATTTTATTTTCTTTGCTAGAAGCTTCGCACATTTTCAAGCTGAACACTGGTGCAAAGGAGTTGAGAAGAATGGCTTTTCACACCTACTCAAAATGTGCGTGGGCAAGGCGAGAGGATTTCCCTTGGTGTATCATTTCCGGCCGACTCGAGGGGGTGATTCGTGGAAAAAGTAGCTGATAATGAAACGTTTCACTTTAATGCGATTTCTATTGATTTTCAGTGTGGACGAGCGCCGAGGGAGGCTTTAGGTGCGTGAGCTTTGTCACGGACAAATGACCTCGAGTGTGGGTTAATCAGGATTTATTGTCAGGACCACTCCTAGCGCACCTCCGTGGAAATTGGGCGCACGCAGGTGTTGATGACTCACGTGAAACGTCCGGAAGAGCACGTGGCTTAGCGGCTGCAACTTCGATTGGCACAAATTGTCCAATTTCCGGCCTCATGGCGAGGCATCTGAGGGATGTGAAGCCCAGTGGGTGGAATGCCAAACTATTGAGTTGTCTCTCGGGGGAATTTGATCCAGCAACGGCTACTTAACATTCTGCACGGGCGACGGAGGCACGCAATGTCACCATTTCTCATCTGTCGCGCCCACCATCGCAATCCCACCCCGCGGACGTGCCGCCACGTGAGCCGCCCTTCAAAGGACTCAGAGAAACTTGCGAAAATTTCGAGTGATTATTCAAAATTTATATTTCAAAAGTTATGCCAGCAAACATACAACTTTTGTGTCGTGCCAGTGAAATTTCTCGGTGAACACGAGTGAGCGGATCTTTGAAAATTTCGCGCAAAACCTTGCGTAATGTGGCAACATCGTGAGCCGTGGCGTGTGACGCAATATTAAAATACACACCACGTCGAAAATTGATGTGTAAAACAAGTGGGAGAAATTGAATTCCACCCTCACCGTGAGGACAGTCATTCTGGTATGGCGTGCATAGGGAAAACCCGCTGAATCCCAGCATGTGTCAACAATTTCCCCATTGTATGTTTTCCCACCCATCGCCTTGTTAAACTCATTCAATTTCCACGGAGAACCGCAGAAAATTCCAATTTATGTCACGGATGTCACTCCACACTCGTCGCAAAAGTGGAGGAACTCTTATCTCTGCCGCCATGTCGATCATTCCATCATTCCTGACAACTCGATTCTCACGCGCCACCCAGCCGCCGCCCAGCCAAAGTGTTATTAATTTATTCCCACGTCTCGAAGTAAATGGAAAAATCAAATAATTCGCCGGCAAATTTCCAAGAGCTGCGGAATAAATTGGCGACAAGTGTGGCTTCTTGCAGAGCGGAGATGAGTTTATAAATCTCCCAGATGGAAAGCTAGGAAATTATTAATCAGCTGCACGATCGAGCTACACTGAGAAGAAATACATTGCATATTATTGCGTTAAACATCAGCATGCAAACATGTTTCTAAACTTGTAAAAATTGGCTGAACTGCTTCTCAATACTTTTGGTCGCGAATTCTTAAAGGAAAGACCTACAAAAAACTCCAATTTCTTGCTTTCTGGCTTAGAGTTTTCTAACTTCTTTCAATAAAAAATAATAAATAATTAAATAAAAAATTCACCTAAATGCTCACTGATAATCAGATCACTGACAATTTTATTATATAGAATCTTTTATAATTGAAAAATTTCATATAGAAAATAAAATCAGAAAAGTTGTACGTATTTTCTTGTTTGTTCACTCAATTTCTTGGAATTACCAAACCTCGCTGTGTAACAATATGTTCATTTCAAGAATCCTCGAAAAAATACCTCAATTTGTGTGCATGAGAAAACTGAAGAAATTTCACGAAAACTCATTTTTTGTCGATGGTTGTTGTGCAAAGTCAAAGACTTTCTCAACAACTTTCGGAGCTCCTCATGTTTCTCAGGTATCCTTGGTTACCTTTGGGATTTTCCACCCCAAAACGTATTAAGTGTTAATTCTCTGAACTTCATGGTCTCTAATCTCGGAATTCATAATGCCACAATTATATTTCCATGGTTTCGAGGGTGGTGTTTTGGAAAACATCATAAGTCTTGGTCTGTAGGTTAATTATTATTTGGCGAGGGGATATTTCTCATGATGGATGCATTCAATGGATCCACCAGACACTCACCCATCCATCTTTTGGGGCTTTGGCATCAAGTGACAACATCCGGATTGGGCGAGTGTTGTCCGGAAAATGGAAATGTGTCTCCCAGGAGGATTCCGCCGATGACAAGATGTCTTTGGGGATGGAGGAATGAAAAATGATGCCACGAAACCATTTGAATACCCAGAACAGCGCCTCAAGGAAAATATTTTCTATCTCGGGTCATTTTTCACCCCTGGGAAATGGTCACAATTCTCGAGTCACACACCCAAACCCCTTTAATTGCCCCAAGGAGTTCCTCTACTGTTCTTGTTGCTTACCTTGCAGAATGAGAGCAAAGGTGAATAATTTAACACACCACATCTTCTCAGTTGGGCTGTATATAGATGGTGGATAAAAAACACAGATAAATTCTATCTCTTAGACACACTAAGAATCCCTCGAGTCTATCTCTTCACCAGCTTTTCACTTCGAGTCTCTTGAGTCTGCACTATTTGCCTCTGTAGGAGAATGTGATTTGCTTTACATTCTCCACTGTCTTCAGTCCTCAACAACTCACTGATATATCCAAGAGTGAGTTTTCTTTCTAGAGTCCGGAAATACACAATTTACACACTTAACGTCGAAAGACAATTAAAAATGCTCCACAATTGTGAGATCAAATTGATGCAAAGCTTGCCAGTAGAATTTCACCCCAAAATCACTTTCAGCAAATACTGTTGATGGCTCAGCACACAATTTATCTTCTCACACTTCTGTAGCTCGAAAGTAACGTTGAACGAATGAACTCTACTATTGCAGAGTTCCGCCTTTTATAGAACTCACATGCAGTCCCAGATGCACAGCGCATGCCCACATCCTCGCAGAGACGAGCTGACAATTCGGGAGAAAGGAGAAAAGGCCTATTAGGGGAAACACTGTACTCACGCTGGCATTCATTCACAAAGGATACACTTTTGCAAGACTCTGGGAAGGGAGGAATAACACATTTGGTGGGGTAGCAAAACACCCTCTCACCCCGATTGATGTCTGCAATTTATATTCTTCCTGTTTCTAATCGCAATAAAATGAAAACCAGAGGGATTGTAATTGATTCCACTGGGAGAGAGAGAAGGGTCAGCACGGACTTTAGGGTGAGCTCATTTGTCCCTCTGTTCATCAGTGAACCACATATCATGATGCCCGTGAACGCCATTGTATGTTTGAAGTTTCAGAGGGACTTTCGAGCCGAACAATGAATTTTAACTTCCATGGGCTCTATTAATAAAGTTTCGCACTGAGACAAATCTTGTACAAACTCGTTGTGGGCCCTTGATTGACCCTCACATGACCTGCCACAAGACATTACACAGCATCTTTGTGAAGAGGACGAGAGAGAGAGAGAGAGAGAGATTTCAATACGAGATGCTGTTGTGCATGAGACAAATATTACTGGAATGAAAAGAATTTTCCTCAACATGCCGTCGGTAAAGTGCGGTGAGTTTAATTAATCTAATGATTATACTGAAGATATGAACAGTTGGGTAAACATCTCACTTTGTCAGTTAGAGCGAACAGTGATAAGATCTCAAACAGACTTCTAAAGTAAGTAACTTGCATGACTCACAAACAGAATGGATGCTCATCAAGTCTTTGAGGTTAAGTCCTTTATCAATATACGGCCAATGTTGATGTGCACCTGAAACTTATTGACATTTAATTTATGCTGTTCAAACTATGGTTCTGCTGGATAAATTACCTACCCATCAACGACAAAATAGATGCAAATCCCTTCTCTATCTTATGGCTCAAGCACTGACAGGAATGAAATGAAAAACTGACACAGGAAATTTCCATCTTAAACCATTCTGTGTCAGCAATTGCAATAATCAAATAGTTTGCTTTAACCCCTCTTTAATTCCTCTGTGAAGTTCTCTGTGCTCTAACGAGTGGAAATCATTACCATTAAATTCGAATGCACAACATTTCCCCTAAGATGTGCTAAGAGAAGTGGGAAGTATTCTGTAGATAAGAGCGTTACTGAGGATTCAGAAGAGACACATACAGTGTTTTGGGGGGTGTGTGTTGCTAATAAAGGGAATTGCATTTTCGGCGTCACAAAAGATCCCTTGAATGTGTAGGAGAAGAGCAAATTTCTCAACTCAAACTTTAGAATATGACCCTAATAGTTTTCTACTAAATGTGGTCTATAATGTATATACAAGGTATTCTGTATGTTGTCATGCTTGAATTCTCTTTTGATTCGAATCTCCTGAAAAGGAATAGAAAGTAATTGAATTCTGTGGTGCGCTTTAGTTTCTCTGATTCCTGAGACCAAAGCATTCTCTCTTTTGTTGCACATCCTTTGCTGGAAAATATCTTTCACTCTCGGTTTCTCTCTTTTCTCCACCTTCAACCGACTTTTGCGTCCACTCAAATACCATGAAATCTGAGCACAATTGCAACTGAAGCAGAATTCCAGAGACTACAAATGTTCTTTTTCTCTCTTTTTCTCACGGCGAAAAAGCTTTTCTCCCTGGCAATATTTTTTTACGAATTTTTACTAAATAAGATGCTGCTCCTTTATGGAGAAATACCATTCGAAATGTAATTGAAATTGAAATAGATAAATACTATTGTGAATGTACTGAAGTATAAAATTATTGCACCAATGAGAATCCTTGTCTCTGTTTCGCTTCACAGTCATATATATTATGACTCGATGATGCTTTCGCGTAGTGCTGCGAAAATTGTAACACAGCCAATGTGTGTGTGTGTGTGTGTTTACATATGAAATGTGCACTCTGAGTGCCTAGACATTGAATAAGCATTTGCCATTTTCTCTCACCGCATTCCTGAAAACTCCATCGAAACTCTCGAGGACTTTCTCACCAACGCAAAATACTGCACTCTGTGTGAGCGAACTGAGTGTGAAACATCTGCGAATGTTAGTTTGGGGGTTTTGGGAAATCATTCACTCCACAACACTACACTTTTGATGGGGAAAATGTTCACGATAAGCTGTCTTGCATGCTGTTTTTTTTTCCAGAGAGACAGAAAAAAATACAGTCATGGTTGAAGTTTATGAATCGGTAAATGTTATTCAACATTATAGCTTCCTTGTACATCTTATGTGACTTTAAGAGGAAATGTATTTTATGCCTTTCTCACCCTTTGTCGTCAAATAGGCAAAGCGACACTTTGGCACAAAGTTGTTGACTTTCTCCCTTCTCTCAGTGAATGACAGAGTATTGTTCCAGAGAGAGAATGTGTATTTTAATTATTGAATCACACCCAGATGTGAATATTTGTCAATTTGCGACGCCACAACATGACAGAGTGTAATTAAGAGGCGACCAAAGAGCGAGAGCTTCAACCCCGTGGTGGTAAATGAGAATGTCAGTGCGCGACGCTTCTGAAGACCGCAAACTTTCTCCAGATGAAAGCTCCCTGGCTTGTTATTGAACAAATTGACCACGAGCAGAAGCATTCTTCATTAAACCCTTCCATTTGAGGCGAATCGCGCGAAGCCCAGCCATTTCTCAAGCACTCCTCGTGGGTGAAAAATTAAAATATCTTCTTCACCCAGTTCGAACGGCCTCTGAGTATGATAAATGACCGAGATGGTTCACCACTGCCATTACGAGAGTGTGTCTACTCAGAAGTGACTTGTATTTCTCAATTTTCCACATAAATTTTCCAATGGCTTTTCTCTTTTTCACCCGAAATATTTTGCTGAGATGAAAACACAGCGCTCACTCACAGCATTTCCCAGGGAATTTCATTTGTGAAAGAGCTTTTCAGCTCTCAACTTGGAATGACGTGAAATAAATATCAAATTAGGTGCTCGCGCTACGAACCTCACCCCCTTGATGGCTTTCACGTGCAGATTTCACGTGTAAGTTTGCTCGACACTTCAAAACTTCTGCCCACATCACGATCAAAATCTCTGGGGGAAAGTTTTAGTGCGCTTCTCTGCCACCAAATATCGGGTATCATACACTGGGAGACGTCAGTGTATCTTTCTTAATTGATTTATCAAAGTCAACGCACGATAGGGACTTGAGCAACGAGATATTCATCTCTTCGAGACATTCATCTACATCACCTTTAATACGGTAGTTGGAAATCATTTCAACGTGATCCATTTGAGTTCTATGTAAGTTGTATGAAAGTATTCTGAATCATTGCAAATATACATACTTGACACCACTTTTTTATTGAATTATCCATAAGAAAGTGAGACTCTTCGAGAGAGTATAAAACACATTTTCATCAACAAACAGGATCAATAGGAGAAAAGGTGCTCATAATACTTTCCCGTAAAATTTCTACCACCGAAAAATAACAGCCAACCTACATATTAAGGTCATGTGTAAATGATTAAAAATTCAAGGGAATTCTCCCAACAAAAATAAAATTCCAGAGTAACCTTGTAATTTGGAATAAAAAGAAAAAAATCATATGAAAAGGTGTGCAAACATAACTTTGAATTGAAAAAGATGCCTTCAGGAGAGAGTTTCGTCAATGGTTTAAGTCAACAGAGTACTTTGCGTCCTGTGGAGAGATTATCTCGGCATTTCTCTAATTTTGCGGTCCACTCAGTGGAATGTTTTAATGCGAAATCCCTTGAATAATCTCTTCTGTCAATATTGACTCAATTCGCTCCGCACTCAAAATTTTCATCACGTTCGTCTGTGGGATAATAGAGTTATTGGGGAGAAATCAAAGAGCATCCACGAGTAAATGTGTGCTTGGCGTGGCAAAAAAGAAGCTGTCCTTCACTCTCTCTCTACTTCCTTCTCAACTGAATCAATTAATTGTGGGCAAAGTGCAATTTAATTACCAGCGAGAGAAGCATATAAATTGTAGGTTTGCTCTTATGTGATAAATAAAGTTGATAAGTGCTGGAATTTCCCATACGACAACAGCGAACGGGAATGGGAGTGAAAGTCCCCAAAGAGGAAGTTGAGAGAAGCTCCCCGTCTACGTGGTTCATTCACATGTGAAGCTCTCATCTGTATTTCCTCTCAATTTAGCGAAGCTCGTGGCGCTGAAGATGGTAGATGAAATTTATGTGTGGGATCCACAGATTTGCCCCATTCATGCCACCCCCCGTCACTCTCGCATCCCCTCCACCCCTTCCCCGCCTCCCCAACATTCGTGCAGAATGAGCAGCAAACGGAGTGCTGAAAGTGGGATTTACATGGGACTTTCTCGGATGGCAAAAGTGCCGAGGAAATGTGTGGAATTAGGTGTTTGGTGACATGACCCAAATTGCTTTCAATTGAATCAAATTGGGAATTGAAATGAGCACATTTTGTCATTCAATGCACATACACAACATGAGATTGCCTCATAGAAATGCCGCCTCTTCTCCTTCAAGCATATCAAAATCATATATACCTTCAGCTTTATGTCGCAACAGCGACACATTAATTGCCAATTTGTGCTCAATCAGATGAAACTATCCAGAAAACTTCCCAAATAACATTCCAATATGCATCTACATTCCACCAAAATCAGATCCAATTAAAATGCAACACTTGTATCGCTATTAAATCTACCATCAGATGAGCTATTAATGCACGTGAGAAGGGGGGAAAAAGTGGAAAGACTTCTGGGAAAAAGTCCGAATGATTATATTCAATCTATTTTCCATTAAATCCCAATTTATTTGCAAAGTGCATCATTGCAAATAAAAAATATTCACTGCAATTCCCTCACATTTATTGGATTATGACGTTGTCTGAGAGACATAAAATCACATTTGGCCAT